GATCAAATGCCTTACAGAGTTTTGTCTACGTCTGATATATCGGAATTTACCGTTGTAGATTCCATTCTTAGCCATTGTTATTGAAGTTTGGCTATTGCAGTGAATCATCACGGGAGGTACTGGTTTTATCCAGTATGAAATATCATCCATAAAGTTCCTTAGCCATTCGGCTTCCTCTCCAGCTTTGTCTAAGGCAATGAACTTCGATTCTATTGTGGACCGTGCAATGCACGTCTGTTTTGTGGATTCCCACGAAACAGATCCTCCTCTAATTGTGAATACATATCTACTTGTAGACAGTGAATCTTTTGCATCGGATATCCAATTGGCATCGCAGTACTCTTCGAGTACCAATAGATATTTCGCGTAGTGTATGCCAAAGTTTAAAGCAAATTTAAGATAAATTAATACTCTTACTAACGCTTTCCAGTGTTCATGACTGGGGTTTCTAGTGTATCGACTCAGCTTGTTTACAGGGTAAGCCAGGTCAGGCCTTGTATAATTTGTTAAGTACATTAGGCTTCCAATAATCTTGGCATAGTCTTCTTGAGCTACGGTTTTCCCCTATTCTTGCTCAAGTGGACGCTGAGGTCCATTGGGGTTTTCACTGGAGTGTTGTTGTAGGCATTGAATTTTCTTAGTATCTTTTCCACATAATGGGACTAAACACTACCTTCGTTTTGTCTTAGAATCTTCATTTCAAGGATGACGTCGGCTAACCTCAAGTCTTTTATGTCAAATTTACGACCTAACATGCATTTGACCTCATTGATCAAACTGACATCCTTAGCCATGATCAGTAAGTCGGCTACATATAAACAAATTATGATAAAACCAGAAAGTGTTTCTTTGACGTAGACACACTTGTCACACTCGTTTATTTAAAAACCATTTGATAACATGACATTATCAAATCTTAAGTGTCATTGTAAAGGTGCTTGTTTTAGTCCGTACAAAGACTGTCAGTTTGTACATATTTAAATCTTTTCTAGGAACAACAAAACCTTCCGATTGTTCCATATATACCTTTTTCTTCTAATTCACCATTTAGAAAAGCAGTTTTCACATCCATTTGGTGAATCTCAAGATTGTTCAAAGACGCAATCGAAAGAAGCACTCGAATGGATGTTATCTTGGTTACTGGTGAATATGTGTCGAAGAAGTCAAACCCTTTGGTTTGTCTATAGCCTTTTACTACGAGACGAGCTTTGTATTTATCAATAGACCCATCAGCTTTGAATTTTCTTTTCAAGACCCATTTGCACCCTAATGGTTTACAGCCTTTGGGTAGGTCAGATAACACCTAAGTATTATTCTGCATTATTCTATTTCACTATTTATTGCTTCCTCCCAGTAGGGAGCATCAGGACTAGATAGTGCTTTCTTGATCGTTGTTGGATCATTGTCCAACATATACGTAATAATATCTGGATCAAAGGTTTTCTCGACCCTTGTTCTTTTGCTACGCCTAGGTTCTGAAATCTCTTAATCAGGACTACCAGTCGTTTGTCTCTTTACGCCCCGTGGTTCTTCACCTACAGGTTTTGGGTTGGATTGTATCATTTCCTTATAAGGGTAGAAATTTTCAAAGAATATGACATTCTTTGATTCTATCGTAATTCCTTTGGTCATCCTAGGGATTTTCGATTTGTGAACTATGAAACGATAAACACTAGAGTTTAGTGTGTATTCGATAAATGTGCAATCTACCATTTTTCGGCCGATAGCGACTTGCTTTGGAGGTGGAACTTCCACTTTTGCTAGACACCCCTATACTTTGAAGTACTTTTATGTGAGTTTCTTGTCTTTCCATAGTTCATAAGGGGTGACATCCTTACTCTTAAGTGGAATCTTGTTCAGGATATAATTTGCAGTCAGTACCACATCCCCCCACAAGTTTTGGGGAAGTCCTGAACTTATCAACAAGACATTCATCATTTCCTTAAGTGTTCGATTTTTGCATTCTGTAACGCCATTCAATTGAGGTGAATATGGAGCTGTTGTCTGATTAATTATGCTACTTTTGTTACATAATTCTTCGAATGGAGCCACACACTCGCCGCCTTTATCACTTCGAACTGTCTTGATTTTACAACCAAGTTGATTTTATGCCTCGTTTTTTAAGTTCTTGAAGGCCTCAATTGCTTCGCTCTTTTTCCTTAATAGGTAAAGATAACAATATTTTGTACAGTCATTGATAAAGGTGATGAAATATTTCTTTTCACATCTGGTTTGCACAAATTTTAAGTCACATATATCAATGTGAATTAACTCTAATGGTTTAATCTTTCTTTCGACAGACGAGAAGGGTAATTTTGCCATTTTGGCCTCCACATAAACTTCACATTTATTTTGAATCTTCACCTCTTTTATATTTAGTAAATTCATATTTACCAATCTTTTTATGACATTTAAGTATACATGACCTAATCTACAATGCTATAAAATCATAACACTCGATCAAGTACGAGGAAGAAACAACATTTTTATTATCATTAGGTGGTGCTCGGCGTACGGCTATTACATTCAAATTGAACAACCTATTTGTAAGATAACCCCTAGTTAGAAACATCTCGTTTTTTGATAATATAAATTTATTTTCTACAAAGATAAGTTTAAAACCATACCTAACTAGCAGTGATCTTGAGACGAGATTTTTCCGAATGTCTGGCACATGCAGGACATCCTTCAAGGTTACTTCTTTGTCATAGGTCATCTTCAGCACCACACTCCTTACGTCTTGGACCTCAGAAGTTGCGTGATTTCCTATATGCAGTTTCCTCCCTTCGGTCTCCTTGTAGGTCGAGAAGTTTGCTTTGTCGGAGCAAACATGGAAGGTTGCTCCAATGTCAATATACCAGGTTTTCGGACTTTCCACATTATTTGTTTCGTACACAACAAAAATAAGGTCGTCACTATTGAGGTCACGATCAGTCCGGTGGCTCGTCTCGACCAATTGGGAACTCGGCTTCTTCTTTTTCGGTGTCTTATAGTCCTTAATCTGGTGTTCTGTTTTACCACAGTTAAAACAGTTACCTGTAAACTTGGACTGTTTGGCCTTATCCTTGTCTTTGAGTTGGGCGTGCACGTTTTTTGGAGGGATCTCCGACCAAATTGGTTTTAGCAATATCTCCACCTTTAGTCTTGTGTTGCTTTATGTTGTCCTTCTCTATTCGGATTCGGACAATCAGATCTTTAAGCCCCATTTGCTTTAGCACATGTTTCAGGCCTTGCATGAAGTTGCTCCAACTCGGGGGCAATTTCTCGATCATCACACTCGTGATGAACTTTTCTGGCAGTGACATTTCCTCGTCGATAACAGAGTGAACAATGTGTTGAAATTCTTCCACTTGTTCGACGACGGATTTGCCAATTACCATTTTATAGTCCACAAACCGGGCCACAATGAACATTTTGGACCCGATATTCTCAAACTTATATTTTTTCTCAAGGGCATCCCACAACCCTTTTGCACTCTTTATTTTTCAATATACATTATGAAGAGCGTTAGAGATAATACCTAATATGTTATTTATTGTCATGTACTCTCCATGTGCCCACGATGCATAATTCACATGCGTCTGTTGGTCCGCACCGAGCTCTGGGGTAATTGGGCCATCGTGCAACACGAACATGACAAACCCAATCGCAGTCAGGTAGAAGAGCATCTTCTCTTGCCACTTCTTAAAGTCCACTCCAGTGAAGAGTTGTGAAACTTGTACATGGGGCATCATCTGTGGGCCAAGCGCAGGACCAACAGTTTGGGCCGCGAGGATAGCAGAGGGTGCAGCCACAAACCCAAGAAAGCCCCCACATCCACCTGGGGCAAATCCAGAAAACATAAGGCTACTCATAAAGGGAATTGGCCCAAGGGGAGGAGTAGCAACTCCGGGGCAGCTCTGGCAGCGGCTCTGGCGACTCCTCCGGTGGCTCATTCGGCGGCGATTGTTCCGGCGGTAGCAGCGGCTTTGCCAGGGGCGGTGGGAATTGACAGTATCGCAAAGTAGTATCTAATTTTTTATTATTAGTTTAAATAGGTATTGCGAGAATAAATCTATCGTGAAACCGAGTCGAGCATGGATCATATTTCCTAAAATTAGATACATCTCGGTAGTGCCTCCGGTGCCTGACATTCTAACCCAAAAATAGAACGATTTCCGTCTCCGATGAGAGTGACACCTCTGATCGTTGGAGCTCCGAAGAATAACGCGAGAGAAGAACTGAGTTGAGGGTGCCGAAAAACTAGAAGAGATAAGGGAAGAATGGGAGAATTGTTGGTGTTTTAGAACGAATGGAGGAGACCCTTTACATAGGCATCTCCACTCGGCCAAAATGGAAGGGGATCAATTACGATCATAATTACGACCTTAATTACCGATGTAATTTATTTTAAATTAAAACCTTCCGTTTGAAGTGGTTATAATTGATTCTATGAACAAACTTTCAGTTTGTGACGATTGTAATTTATTTTAATTTTAAACGTTTCGTTTGAGATTATAATAAATTCATCTAACGGATAATATTTTATCCAAATAATACTGCGACTTAAGCCATATACCCAGTTTAATTTAGGGATGCATAATTTGTTTTGTTTCGAGATAGATAAAATAGACAGCATATTAACCTAGCCCATATATAACAAATAAATAATATTTATTTATTTTTTTCAAATTAATCTAATTAATTTGATAGATTGGTCCGTCGCATTTTCTCTTATCAATTAGTCGATTGCATAAATTACCGATTATCCAATGTCGTCCTCCTCGTTTTCTTCTTCTTCACCCTTCTGGTCCGCCGCGGTGGCTGCCTTCCGGTTAGGTTTATATTTTATTTCAAGATAAAAAAACAGCTGAACCGTCGGTTCACGATTCGATTCGGTGGTTCAGGGTGTCGGTTCCGGTTCGAATCGGAACTGCTGGTTTGAAACCGGGTTCGACGGTTCGAAACCGGTTGAGCGAGTGTGCATTATTAAGGCATTGACGGCAAGTTTACTCTCCACCAATCATATTGCAGATTTTGCAATCCAATCTGATTGAATTTGATTTTTGAATCACTCAGTATTCAAGGATCTGTCGATTCCAAATCACGAAAGAAATCTATCTGCAGGTCTTTTGGGAAAAACATCTTCACCTCCTTTGCAAATTCTGCTCTCGCTCAAATTCTCGGCACTTGGTAGGAGCACGAAACCAAAGCTTCTTTTCTGGAGGAGCTGAAGTGGATTATTCATTTTTTGGATGTTCTGAAATGATCTGTATCTCTTCGATTCGAGGTCAGAAATCTCGCCGAGCTGCTGTTGTTTGGAAGAGGAGATTTTCACCTCAGGAGGTGAAACCGGAAAATTATTGAGTCGAGCAGAATTTGTTGCCAGGGTTTTTATTTGTCGTTCCATTGATGGAATTGCTTGGGAATAATTCAATTCAAGGCGAGGAAATCTAGGGTTTGACCCTTGGGAGGTAAAAAAGGAAAAGAAAAAGAGTTGCTCACTTTGATGATCGTTGTAAGGTTAATCTAGGGTTTCCTCGAAACAAATTGGGGGTTTTGGTAGAAATTAATTTTGAGGAAAATTAAGACTGTGGACGGCATGGCAGTGGCCTGGAATCTGATGGCTTGGGTAGCTGGAATGATATGGATTGGATTCACTAGTTGGGTTGTTTCTTGCTTGACCATTGCTGATGAAATTGCATCCTCGCTAAGAACAGGAGACATTGGTCCTTTCCCAATCGGGTGATTGCAATACTTGTATGTAGATAGATAGATAGATACATATGTATGTATATACACTGCATTATATTGCTCCGTTTCTCTTTGATATTTTGTAAATTTTGGTTAACTTTCTTGCAAATTGCTGAGCTTTATACTCTACAATGCTTATATATATCTTTGATCTTCATGATGTGAATGATGATGATGATGATAAGTGATGTTTAGGTCGAATTACAAGATCCTACAAATAGTTAAGATAAAGAAACAATCTTTCTCAATTGGCTGACCCAACTTTTCCAAACCTTAAATAGATTGGGAAGACAACAATCTTCTGTGTCTGCCCATCTTCTCCATCCCAAGCTTTCTTGAAATCTTGGATCAAATTTTCTGTCAAAAGCTCCACGCCCTTTCCTTTAGCAGTATGGTAAGCAGACCAAGACTTCAAGTACACAATATACTTGTCTAGATCCATAACCTTCTCGGAATTGAACCGGAACGGCCCATTGCTCTCGAGCCCGTCGACCGGATCGAACGGGAAGTCGATGGTTTTGTACTTCTCATCCACTAATGTTCGGGCCGATTCCCAGTAGGGTCCGACGTCGTTGTTGTAGAAGCGGTTGAGCAATTTGTCGACGGCGGGGTTTACCTCCGGGAGAGTGTAGCACCAGGCTGCAATGGCGCCGGCGGGCTTTTTTAGGAGATGGTTGACATGGTTGTAGAACGTGGGGAGATGGAACCAGTGCATGGCTTGCGCGATTGTGATTAAATCGAAGGTGGATTCGGATCCGATGCAGTTGTGGATGTCGGAGATGGACATGGTTTGAGGGGTGCATTGGTAGGTTATGTTGGATAGCTTCTCGGCGTATTCGAGCTGCTTCGGGCTTGTGTCGGTGGCGATCACATTCTTGTAGGCCTTCGCTAACTGTGAGGGAGAGAATGTATGTAATGAATCGTACATTTTGTCATCAAATTCAGAGAGGACTTTGAATGAATGAAATCAGCCAACGAGGGTCTTACGGATTTGGCGGCTTGGCCGGTGCCGGTGCCGACGTCCCAGGCGAGGTCGTGGGAGGGAGTGTGGGAGGAGATGAAGTGGAAGAGCTGGTCGGGGTAGTCTGGTCTGCCCTCAGAATACTGCTTTGATTGCTTCAAAAATAGGTCTGCCATGGATATGTACTCTGCAAATTTGGAGATATGAACAAGTAGGATGTAATATAGTGAGTTTGGTTGGAGTTTTGATGGATGGGACATATATATATATATTGATGAATCCCAATTCAATTTCGTTCTCGTTCATGCATTGGTGCCCAATCCAATCTGGGTTCGTTTCAGAATTGCATATTGACTTTTGACTTTGACCACCAATTGCGTGTTTGAATTCTCCACAATTGTTTGTGTATGCATTCATCTTACCTTTCGTTGGATAAATTACATTGGTTTACATGTGTGTTTTTTGTTGGGGTGAAATTTGAATAATAAAATATTTAAATTTGAACAGCGGTATGACGTGATATAAATAGATATTAATGTGATAAATTTTTAATATAATATAAAATTTTAAAAAATATATTTAATTTAATGTTTTAAAAAAAATAAATTTGATGAATAATAAATCAAACAAACACAAAGCTTATAAGTTAAATATATAGTCATTTGATTGTATTAATATAATATTATTTAGTGTGGAATCCGTGTAGTTTGGTGGAAGTGAACGAGTGTCATTTGCCTTCTCATATGTTATTCCAATGGTAGCTTAAACCATAAACAATCCAAATCACAAATTTGCGATCCTCGAGTTTTTTTCTCCCTTCACGTCATACCACGGCAGCTTAAGAATCAATTGAGAACTTATTAAACTTTTTACTAACATTATAGAATCGTGTTACACGGTTCCCCATTTTTTTTTTTTATTTCAATCAACAAATTTATTATTTTGTTTAATACAAATTTTATATAACAATTTTTTAAAATAATATATTATATATACATTATAATATTTTTTATTTGATAATTTAATTTTAGTATTAATTATTTAATACTTACTTAAAACTAATTTAATAAATAAATTTAAAATATTACATTCATATTATTAGTGTACTATATATATTTATTTATGTATGTGTTTATTGCTAATTTTATTTTAAATTAATTTATAAAAATTAACATGTGAATTATGAAAAAAAAAATATAGAATTTGATTATAACCATAATACCGGCCTTCAATAAAATTAACATAACAAATAATTAAATATTCAAATTTAAACATACAATTTTTAATTTTCAGAAGAATTAAAAATTTTCTATACATGCTCTACCAACTCCGATCAACTGATTGTGCATCACACTACAAAAAAAAAATAGTTTTCTGCTAAGGCCGGAAATTTATAACAAAAAACCAATTTTCGTATAATTTGCGTATTTGCTACGCCTTAGTGACAAATTTTATCCTTAATGTGTACTCGCGTAACGAATGTTTTCTGCCATGCACATTTTTGTAACTACTACTCTCGGTCAACGTTCCTTATGGAAAGGTTTTTGTTACGATATTTGTTACGAATATTCTCTCGTAATAAAAAGTCGAGCTTCCCACGCGTGTGCCAGGACTTTTAGTTACGAGATTTGTTACAAAAGTTCCTTGCGTTACCAAAAAATTTACTATGACCGCTTGTCAGAGTACGCTTTTTGTTACGATTTTTTGTTACGTCATTGAAGCCGTAATAAACAATATATTTTCTCATGGTCACAAAACCGGCCGTAACAAAATTATCCCTTCATATTTGTTACGTCCAAAAACTACTTTTTGTTACTTCATTTCATTTTTTTGTTATGTCATTGAACCTTAAAAAAACTATCCATTCTTATGGTCACAGAACCGGTCGTAACAACAAACATCCAAAACAACATTTTGTTACGTCATTTCTTCCTTTTGTTACGAAAAAATAGTGTCTCGTAAAAAAGAGTAGTTGTGGTATAGTTGAAATTGTGCGTAACAAATTAACCTGTTGTGATCTTTCTTACACCAAAGGAAATTTTGTATAAAACCATGCTATAAATATTACGACTAACCATACTCTATTATGATCATTCTGTCTCGAAGTCAGATCCTATTTGATAAAAAACTTGTCATATCAGTACGTCTATCACATGAGTATGACCAAGACGAATTTTCATTTGCATATGTTCCATTTGATCAAATTGTGAAGTATCGTAATAACGCATATATGTATCTCTTTCATCTCCAACAATCATATTATGTAATATGATGCAAGCCTTCATTATTTTTCCAATTATGTCTAGATCTCAAATAGTACATGGGCCACGAATGATTACAAATCGAGCTTGTAACACTCCAAAAGTACGTTCTATATATTTTCGAGTGGCCTCTTGATGAAATGCAAATAATTGTGCCTTAGAATCTTGTGGAAGACAAATGGATTGGATAAAAGTTCCCCATGGAGGATAAATAACATCCATAAGATAATAGTCCATATTATATTGATGACCATTAACGATGAAATTCATTTGCAGGGCTCTGCCATCCAAAACATCATTAAATAATGGAGATCGATCAAGAATATTAATGTCATTGCATGTAACTGGTGTGCCGAAAAAAGTATGTCAAATCCACAAGTCATACGATGCCACAACTTCTATAATTGTATGTTTACCATTTCTACGTGAAAATTGACATCTTCAAACGGTTGGACAATTCTTTCATTCCCAATACATACAATCAATGCTTCTAAGCATCCCTGGAAAATCGCGTGCCTCTGCATATATAGTAATCGTTGTATATCGTTTGCATTTGGACTTCTGAGATATTCGTCACCAAATACAACTTCGACAAATTTAATCAAACACATCCTTGTAGTGCTTGCTCTAATACGCACGTAATCATCTACGTGGTCAACCGATACTTTATACGCCAGCATGCATATAACAGCTGTACATTTTGCAATGGTGATAATCCAAGTCGACCAAGTGCATCAGGGCATCGTTGAAAGAATTTAAACTCCGTTTTCAGGTGATCAACAATGCACTGAAACAAATGTCTCTGCATTCGAAACCGATGACTGAGAATCGGTATACACCGGATTCTCAAAAAATAATCGCAAAATAAATGATTATGGCCATCCTCGCGATTTATTTCTATGTAAGCTCTTCTTTTAATTTGATGTGAACTTTCTTCCTCTTGGTTGGCAATTTTTTTCAAAATTATTGCACGGTGTTGACGATATTGTATCCACCATTGGTAAGTAGCTTCAAATTCTTCATCAAAATTGGAACTCGAACTAAAGAAGGATGTAAGTGACATTTTGTTTTTTTTGAAAGGAGGTTGAAATATATAATAGTGTATTGCAAGACAATGTGGTAAAAGATTGTAAAAACTTCATGCTTATATATACTTACAATATTTAAATAAAATTAATTTGAAAATATATTTTGTAAGATATAGTGAGGAGTGACAATACAATTTTTTAAGAATCAATTCATTTTAGTACAATAAAGTGATATGCCAATGTTCTCTATTGATTGCAAGGATTGACAACACAATGTATTAAAGGATTGTGAAACTACATGCTTATATATACTTATAATATTTAAATAAAATTAATTTGAAAATATATTTTGTATGATATAATGAGAAGTGACAATAAAATATTTTAAGAGTCACAAAACTCCCAACATCCAAACCATCAAGAAAATTACCAAATTCCACAATTTTTTTTTTGTTTTTTTTTTTTACTCTTATCCACAACCACCATTTTCATTTGGTCCTAACTTTTCTCCTACTCCAAACTTTCGACCAATTGGTGGCATACTGTATCCTATGAACCAATCTCCAAATGTTTCGGTTACTTGGGGAAGTGGTTCAAATCAAAGAAATGAGGGCATAAATATCCCTGAATTTAGCACAAAAGTTCCTATTCACAATCTTGATGAACAAGATGATGATGATGTGCAAGTTATTAGTTCTACTAGAGATACAAGAAAATCGTGGAGCCCCGAAGAAGATATTCTCCTCATCAGTGAACGGCGTAACACCAGCAAAGATACCATTCTAGGTACTGATCAAAAAGCTTCTGCTTTCTCGAAACATGTGGTGGACTACTATATGGAACATAAACAAGATCATTGGGTTTCAAGAGACGTATCTCAACGTAAGTCTCACTGGCATAACATTAATAAAGCAATATCAAAATTTGTTGGTTGCTATGAGCAAGCTAACCGACAAAAAATTAGTGGGCAATCTCAAGATAATGTGTTAAATATTGCACACAATATTTATTACGATGATGGTCGAATATCATTTGTATTTGAACATGCATGACGTGTGTTAAAAAAAGGAACCAAAATGACAAGGGAGTTTCAATGTTTCTGATGAAGGATCACAAGATGCTGAAGGTAGTTCAAAGAGGTCAAAGATTAATGAAGTTGGAGGATGTTCATCAAATTCTAATCCAACAACACCCTGTTGTGGTTGTAATGACAATCCTCGTATTGTTCATCCTCTTGGTATGAAACGAGTAAAAAGAAGGGGAAACGAGTATTAAAAAAAGAATCAAATTCTAACAATTACGATGAGTATTTTGCAGGTATGGAAGTTAAAGATACACAAGGTATGTTATATTTAGAACGTCTTGTGGATTTAAAAGAAAAAAGAATCAAGTCGAAACAAGAACAACAAAAACAAATCATCTACCTTGAAGAACAAAAGATGAAACAATAATTGGAGCAACAAAGAAAAAAAAAAAAATCAATTGAAAAAATATAAAATATTGAACAATTTACTTGCAAAGAATCAATTAAGTACAAATGAAAAAGCATTTAAAGAAAAATTGTTGAAAGAATTATTATAAAATAATTAGAAGCATTCTTTTTATTTATTTAAGAAATTTAAATTTATATATTGTAGTTTATGTTTTTTTAATGTAGCCAATCTAGAATGTTTTTCTATTATATAGTATTTCTGCTTATTTTATTATTAATGAAGTCTTTTAATTTTAAATTTTTTTTTTGTTTCTAATTAATGTGTATTTTTTACATAAATTATTTAATAAAAAATATATAATAGATAAAATAAAATAAAATCATTATAATTATTATTAAAAATATAACTATTTTTTAAAAAAATTATATTATATCATATTATTTAATATTTTATTTTATAATTAAATAGAAAAATATAATTATAACACAAATATATAATTTAAATATAATTTATAATATTATTATAAAT